TTTTTGACGAATTTGAAACATATAGAATTTAAATATTTTACCCATGGGTTCACTGATCCATAGGGGGGGTTTTTGTTTAGTTTTGATCGCTTGGAAATGATTTATTTGGGATTTTCATTAAATGATGAAGGGTATTAAGATTAGTGGAGGATATAAGTGATTTAAATTTTTTGAATAAGGGCGTTTGAGGTGATGACTCTTTCTTTCTCCAGAGGCTCAAAGTTAAGCTTTGGAGGAGAAAAAATATATTCTCTCTCTCTATTGTTTATTCCTCTTTTGTTAACTTTTATGCAAAAATAGTGAAAATAAAATTATTAACACTCAATAAAATTTATTTATTGAAAATTTAGAGATTTTATAAAATTAATTTATTGAGACTTATAAAATTGAACCACAATAACTATCTCAACTAACCCAAGTTAGATATTTTCCATAAATAAAATTTGCCTTAGTTACCTTTTTATATATTTAAAATGTATTATAAGGAAATCTGGAATGATTGGCCACCTTTTAATTTTTAATATCCAATTACTATTTTAAATTTTTTAGTCATAGTCATCTTACTTTATCTCTTAAGTGACGTTTAGGAACAATTTTTCCAAATGAAACAAATGATTATTCATATTTTGCTAATTGTTTTAAAATCGGTATCTAAATAACTTTCAGACTAAAAGAAATTATGTTTAACATTATATATCAGCTTTTGTATTGAGTACCTGCATATATTAATACAAGCCTTTGTCAAAAAAAAAGTCTAATATTTTATGACCAAAAACAAATCTAATACTTTGCGAATCCGTTAGTAGTAGTATAATATTTGTTCTTTTAACGGTTTATTCTATGTAAAATCGTACGAGAAGAGAATATTTGGAGGCATCTCCTCTATAGCCCCTAAATCTCATTCTCTAATCTTTCTAGGACACATTTCTTCTTTTAATTTTATATGTCAAAGGAAAAATCATAAAATTAATCTGAAAACGTGAATATTTTTTATTTGATTTATAGAATTTTATAAAAATATTTCAAAATTCAAAAAATTAAATTTTGATATTTTCACGAAAATCATCAAAATATGATTAAAAACGATTTTAAAATATATTTTTTTCAAAATTTGATCACTATAGAATTTAAATCTTTGCCCAAGGGTTCACTAATCTATTGGGGGGGTTTTTGTTTAGTTTTGAACATCGGGAATGATTTAATTGGGGGTTTAGATTTTGATCAAAAACAAAAATTATGAAATAGGGGTATAAGAGATCTTGTGAACCCATAAGAGATTAGCTTAAAAAAAATAGGGGCATGAGAGAAGATGTTTGTTATCTTTCAGTAACTGGAACAAGCATGAGGAATACGAGAAAGCTGGCGACGACTCAACGAGGGCCGCGAGGGCACGTGTTCTCATCTTGTTATTATTATGATGTTAATACAAATAGCACTGTTACTATTAGTTTGTCTAAGTTTCGTTTGCGAAATTTTTGTTTATCAGTGGAAAAAAGAGAGTAGAATAACTAGGTGGAAATAAATAAAAGAATAAATGATAAATGGAGAAAATGTGTTAACCCAAATGGATTTTTTTCTTCCTTTTCATTTCCACCTGATTGGTAAAGAAAAATTGGAATGAGAGTAAAACTTAAATTAAAATTTTACTCTAACATGTACATACAGTCAAAACCATAATGTTTATAACTTATCTTGTTATGATACCAGTATTATATAACAAAAAAAAAGACCTACAAGTTCATGAGTCAAAAAATAAATAACAGTGATAGGGGTGTGCTGGGTGCAAATGCATTGGTTCCTACATTTTTTATTTTAATTTATTTACTATTTTAAGTTTGTAATATTTACATAGCAATATAACATGACAAGAAATTAAATTATCGTTAAATGTATCTAGTCGACCAAATCGGGTCAAACATTATTCTCAAGAACAAACGAATGTGAATTTTGAAAAGTGGGTATGATAAGCTTGACTAAACACGCTTGAAAGAACCTTAAAAGACAAACTAAACACGTCTCAGATACAATTATAAGAGGTTTGAAAAAGGGCTCTAATGTCGCAGAATATACAGTAAACAAACGCCGAATAATATTTTAAAATTGAACTTTAAAAGAAACTAAGCCATAAAATAAATACTATATGGATGAAAAGCAGATTTTTATTTAAAATTTTTTTAAATAGGATTATTTTTGTAACTTAAATAGGATTTGATTTTATTTTATTTTTTTGTTAAAATTTGGTGCATATTTATAATTTGGTATATATTTATAATTTGGTATATATTATATTTTTTTAGAAATACTACAAACATGTATCCATTTTATAATAATATCAGAGTTATTTTTAATGTTTTTCAACGGTGTTTCAATCCAAACACCTCTAATATTATATGTAACAGTTCATAATTTAAAATAAAACTTTATTTGATTGAAAATAACGCAATGATCAAATTATTATAAAAACATTTAACGAGTAATACTAGTTGGATTTTATTTTCAAAGCCGAAAAATAAACAGAAGCAGAAAAAGAATTGCCCATAAGAGCTCATGTACACGTTCAGAGGAAAAGAAGAAGAGAGGGAGAAAGAAAGACGTAAGTAATAAACCGTAGAAAGTTCAAACCAAAAAAAGTAATAAACCTGTGTATATAGCTTTCATTTTCCACAAGCAAGAAAAATATTCTTCGCTGCATTTTTTTAACCAATACATCATCAATTTGTTAGGCACACGTCCTTTTCTTTTCCTCCTTTTATAATTTTCTTTTATTCTTATATATAAAAACCCTATCACGTTCACACAAATGCATCAACCCTTTCGAAAACCTGTTTACATTTAGAACTAAGAACCCCAAAAACGTGTTTATATGTTGAACCAAGAACACGTTTACATTAGTTGTTAAAATAAATATCCTTTTCAATAGAAAAAGAAAAGAACAATAATCATTGGGAGCAATGGATCTGAGTTATTACTCAAAGAAAACAAATTTATCTTGTAATAGTAGGATGGTTATTGTAGCAACTACCATGCTTGACGACTAATGGATATTATCAGCTTAAGGATGATCCTAAGGTAACAGCTTTGATGCAACAAGCTGAGCTTCTCAGTTTATTGGCTCAGAAAGTAAATTCAGACAACATAGAACAGAGCATAGAGAATGAATAAAGAGAAGCATTGGAAGAACTATATACTAGAAAACCCTTCTTGTTTGTGAAGACAAAGCATCTAAGAGTAAAAATTAAAGAGAACATGTCAAAGACTCACCACACCAAAAACCAAACCAAACTAAAACACACAGGAAACATAGAAACAAAACAGCTAAAATGATTAAGAAAGGTTTCAGAGCTTTGTCCAACAATGTAAGACGATCAGGATTGCTTTCTCTATTTCCTCAATTCAACGTTTCCACTCAGCTTTGGTCGATTTATCTGAAATAAACATGAGCAAAAACAATGGGTTAAAATGATGTAGATAAGGTTGAGACTTTGAAGAGGGTTGTGGATAAAGATTTTAGGCTTCTTACCACCAATGTCCTTGGAAGAAGAAAAAGATCTGTCACTGTTCATTGATCCTTTAGCTGAAGCTATTAAAAGTCTGTGAACTCTTGGAGACATTGCACTCAGCTTACCATTGGCTGCAGGAGGAAGAGAGTGGCGCCTTGTGGTTCCGTTTTTCTCAGGCTTCTCTTGACCACCAAACCTTGGAGACCCTTGTTGTCCTCCTCTTACTCTTGCCTTGGCAGATGCAGTTGGAGCCATGTAGCTTGGGATCTTTCTCCCGCTATGTGTTACTACCCCATCGTCTTGATGATGATTTTCAATCTTTGCAGGTAGAGAAGCTCGTCTATCGCTTGGCTTTGTGTTCTCAGAAGCAGCATTTCCGTTCTCAGAGCTTATATGCACGTCTGCCTCTTGTATCTCTTCTTCCGCTTTATCAGTTTTGAGTTCATCTTGCTCTGGAGTATCCAGAACAGGTGTTTTCTCATCTTTGTCGAGATCAGCCTCTTTGGAAACTGATTCAGGGCTGTCTTTCACTTCTTCTTCAGGAGTATCAACTACAGAAGCTGAAACCTTGTCACCAGGCACTTCTTTCTGCACTGAATCTGCAATCTCTTTCTTCTTCTCAGCGGATTTGCGTGTAGGTTTCTCAACCCCATTAGGAAGTGAAGCCTTCTTGAGGCTAATTCTAGGCTTATCATCCTTAACCTCCAATGAAGACCCTTCCTTTATGGCGCTTGTACTCTTTCTTGACGTCTGCTTAGGCTTATCATTTGAAACCTCTTTACCAAGCGTGGAAGGCTTCCTCACACTTTTCTTAGGCTTATCGTTTTCAGCTGTAGAACGTCTGCTGCTAGAGCTACTTCCATTATTTAAACCACCTGATGGTTTCTGGACACCTCTCTTAAGTTTTCCCTTGTCTGCTTCAACTGCTTGAAAACTGCGCTTCTTTGCCTGAGATTTCGGAACCAGGCTCTTAACCACAAGTGGACCAGGAGCCCAAACCTGCAACTGTGTCCAGCGCTCAAGCCACACCTTGGCTGAGTTAGGATCCTCAGGACCATACTGAATCTTCAGAGGCAATACCGTTGGTGAGGAAACTAGAATCTGAAAAAGAAAAGGAAACAATTAAGCAAGAGCACGTCACAGAATAGCAAAATGTTGATGTTACCTTATCAATCATGGAGAGCTTAGTGGAACCCTCAAGCCAACTGTATGTGCTTCCTTGCAGAGTTTCAGAGTCATTAAGAACCGGTATTGTTTTCTGAAGTTGAACACGGGTGTCTGAAGATCTAGCTATCTTCCCACGGACAAGAGCTTGTAACTTCACAACTCCCCAAATGCACGAGTAGGTAGCAACAGCTTGTCTTCTTACCAAGTGACCACGGATAACTGCTTGCAGCTTTACGATACCTTTAGCCTTCACGAATTTGAAAAACAACAGAGTATCAGCAGAATAAGAACAGAAATCTCAATACTGAAATGTAGAAGAAGAGTTCAAATGCTTAAACCTTTGTAGCATCTTCTTCTTCGACGTTGAGTTCTTCTGTGTCATTCCTTGACTCAAAATTAGCATTTGGTTCATCATCGCCTTTAATGTCTCCGCTTGGTTGCTTCTCAGGGACTACAGCATCTGGGACTAGTACAGTTTGTGTAGCTGCAACTTCTTGTGATGAAACTACCGGAGAGAGATTGGTAGGTAAAGTTGAGACATTATTATTAGTATCCTTCACTTTCACCACAAGCTCTTCTTTCTTTGCAGATCTCTATCATATATTAACACAATTACATATCATTATGTTTTTTTGACATATCATTATGTTTTATGACACAAAAGAGCAAAACAAAACAATATGTTCTTACCAATTTATCGGTTCCTTTCTCCAAACTCGATTTTGATGACTTAATCCCAAGAAGAGACTTGATCCATTTACCAGGACTTGGAGTCTTTCCCATTTTTTCCAATGTCTACACTTAGAAACCTCCTACAGAAACAGAAACCTGCATAAGCAAAAAACACACATTTGGTATAAGCAAAGGCAAAGGTTGAAACATGAAACAAAGTGTGTGAATTTCAAGTAAAAACAGTAAATCTATAGTCGCAAACAGAACCGTCAACTAATAGAAAGCCTAGAAACAAAACATACATACACAAGAAACATGAACCAGGTAGAGAGAGAACAACCCCAACTTTCAAAACAAAGACGAAGACAGACATCGAAACTAAAGCGTACAGTAGCATGAGAGACGGCCAAAAAAAAAGTAACGAAAAGCCAAAGGAAGATATAGACCCATTAAATTAAAAGTGAAAAAGTAGCAATTTTGACTATGAAAAAACAAAACCCATTTCGATTTAAGAGTGAAACAAGCGGGAAAACGAGAAAATAGAACCTAAAAATTGGTAAAAAAAAAAAAAACAGTTACCAGAAAACTCGAAACTTTTTTTCGAACTACAAAATATAAGAGACATACATTGTAAGCAAAATTAAAGAGGGAAAGAAGATGGAGTAAGATTGAATACACAGATCTAGGTTGAAATCAAAAACGGAAACTGTTCTTTTTTTCTTCGTAAGATATTAAAATTTGCAAAATATCAAACCTCAAATAGAGTAAACGTCACCAATGTAGCTGTGAAGATTAGACGGAATCGAACTTTTTTGTTCCTTAAAGTGTTTCCTTTTTTCTCCTCCTTCTCGGCGGAGCAACAGTGCCCTAATTACCAAAAGTGGTGACAGTGAGAAAGAAACTACACTCCCACTGTTTTTTTTGTAAAGTAGAGAGGAAGAGAAGGTCCTAATACGACAGCGTTTAAGATGTGTTTTATTCATTAATGGGCTGGTATGAGCCCAATTGAGGGATTATAGTTTGTATTGAATTTACTGGCATAAAAACTAACCCTGATGGATGTCTTTATCGAAGTGGGTGGTAATTCGCTGATTCCTGACATTAAAATGTTTGTCTTTTTGTATGCTTAAAGAGTCTTTTCATTTTGTAGTTCTAGTTAACACCACCAAATTTTTATCACTTAATTAATATAGAACTGTAAAATTTCTACTATAGAATATAAGTTGTTATAAACACAAATAGTATTTTATTTTTGTTTTACAATTTGAAAATATCACTTACATTGAAACAACATTTTTAAAATTCTGAGTGTGAACCTGCGCCGTAACCTTTCACCCTTATACGCTGAATGTGAAGTTTTGATTTGGGTAATGAAATGCATGAAGATCCTATAGTTTATTGATGTAATTTTCGTGACGATTGTTTTCGACTGGTAAAAATGGTGTCGACACCTGAAGAATGACCAGCCTTCTCTACACACATGAAAGAATTCAGATAGACTAAGACTTTTTTCTTTAACTTCCGAATGAGACATATTTCAAGGGCACAAAATACTATGGCAAATAAGATTACACGAGGTGCGGAAAATTATTTTTCAACTATATGTTATATGTCAGTTCAACACCTCCAATTTAGTTTTTTTAATCTAAAGGAATAATTACTTAGTTATGTATTGTTGTCAAAAAAAAAAAAAACTCCTGAGGGAGTAACATAAAGTTGGAGTATGTTCTATGTGTGACAAACAATGAATGTGTTATGTATAGAGTAATATCATTCTAATTTAAATCTTTTCGAATCATCTGGCTTTTGTTGATATATGAGTACTTTTTTTTTCTGTCAAGTGTTGATATATACTTAAATGCTACTTTCGCAGTGACGATTGTTCCAAGGCCGTTGCATGTGCTTCATCGTCTAAAATCTTTAAATATTTAACAGGAAATTTTTTTTCCCCCTAAATTCTATCTTGAAGAAACATACCAATAATTCTTTACCAACAATACCAATAATAATCTACTAATAATAGCAATCCTCATTAATTCTAAAGGTTGTGAATCTCTATTAAATTGAAAAGTTGCAACTTTTAAAATTGATTAAAATATATATTTGAAAGAATTCATTTTTTTCAAAAAGTTAGTTAAAAATATTATGTTTAAAATATATATGTTTTGAAATAATACATTTTTTTCAAAAGTTAGTTATTTTGGTCTAACATTTGTGTCTATTCATATTTTTTTATGAAGAGACACATATTTATAAAAAGACACCTCTTTATATATTTTCACAATCTATAAGAACTACTGCAATGTTTCAGATGAAAACTGCATCATTTTCTTAGTGTTTTTTTTTGCAACTATCATTTTCTTAGTGTTTATAAAAACAATAATAAAAATCAACAAAAACTTACTTCTTTATTTTGAAGAGTTTGTGATCTTCTCCATCATAGGTCACTTAAAGATAAATATCATTTGGTAAATTGATCAATTACCAAACCAAAACAAGCATGGAGGTTATTGTCTTTCTTCTTCTCTAATAAATGTTAAAGTATATGTGAAACAAATCTGAATTATAGTCTTAGCTTTATTTTACTATAGAATCATAACATGTGGTATGAGAGCCATTACTGTAAGTAATGTATAAGGATTTATAGTCGGCATTTGTTAAGTGTGTCTTCATGATCCATATTGTTGCATTTAGTTGTTCTGAAATTGTGATGTTCGTAAACTCAGTTATTATCTTTTGACATGTAAAGACACATGCATGTTTTTGAAAATTATTTTTTCTTTGGCGTAAGAGCGTGAGTGAATTTTTAAACATGAATGGCTTTAATGTGAGTAACTATGTAAAAGTGAAACGTTTGTTAAATTTAAGTGATTAAAAATAATTATAGTTTGTTAAAGAGGATCAAACGTGTACATGAAATTGTTATGGGGCTGCATTTAAAAAAAAATATTGGATGATTGACAGTTACTGCATTTTGTTGTTATGAAGAGTCACCATCGAAAGGTTGTGAAAGTAAGCATTCACATGCAAAATGCATGTACTTAAATAACCTGTGGAAATTTTTTTGTAAAATCGTGCATCATACGTAAAAGCGGGAAACATAGATATACATATATTGGTCAAAAGGTTGCGACTGAAGGGTTGTGTTGTTTGATAATGAAACGATTCGGGAAAATACACCATATACAAAAAAAATTGATGATGTAATCTAATTAGAGCGAGAAAGTTTTATTATATGTAGTCTACTAATATTGGTCTCACCAGCCACGTCTTGTCTTTTCTTCCCGGATACACATACGCACAAGAGGAGAATGAAGTGCAAAAAATGTTTTTTCTATTAATAAATTTGTGAAAAGAAACGGTTTTGCATATTCTTTAAGCGTTGCCTTTGAAGATGTACGAGTTGGTGCATTGAAGACGGTAATTGATGTCAACTGTTAAATAAAAAAAAAGTTCCCTATTATAAAATGTATTTATCTGAAGAGTCATAACTTTTTAATTAATTTAAAAATATTTTTCTAAAAATTTAGTAGCTGCCTCTATTTTATTTGGTTGTGTGGTTTCATACTAAAAATTGCATTAATTAAGATTTATCAAATTATATATGTCTCTACATCATTAAGAATTGTATTTTTAATTAATTAATTTAAAAATAGTGAATGCAGTTATAAACGAAAAGGTACTGTGAACAATTATGAATAAAAAATATAATAAACAGTTATGAATAAAATTATAATGAAAAGGCACATATGTTCGAATTATTGAATAAACACATTCTTTCAAATCAACTAACTTTTGAACGGACACATTGTTTTAAAACAAACTTAAAATATTAAAAATGAAAACACAACACTACTCTTACAATATATGTATAATTCGAATAGATACCTCTTTTCAGAAAATATATATATATCTTTGAACAAACACATTCATTCAAATTAACTAACTTTTGAATAGACATATTGTTCAAAACTATTAAAATATTAAAAATTATAAATATACACATTCTTTTAAAATAACTGACTTTTTAATGGATACATTGTTTCAAAACAAAGTTAAAATATTAAAAAGATACAACCTTTCAGTATAATAAAGATTCACAACCTTTAGAATTAATGAGGATTGCATTTCTTTAGACACGAATTAATGAGGATTGCAATCCTTCAGACAATACACATTCACCAATAAAATTTCTTAAATAGTATATGTCAGTAAACCACTAAAGAAATTGTAAATTTTTATACAAAAGTTTATTATTATCAGTTACTTTTATGAAATGAGTTTATGTGCGATATATAAAAATACTAATTTTGTCAATATTGAAAATAGTAAACCACTAAACCAATTGTAAGTTTTTATACAAATCTTTATAATAAATTAATTTTATAAAATGAGTTTCCGTGCGATATCGCACGGGTTCCTTACCTAGTAATAATAATAATAATTTACCAAAAAAAAAACAATACCAATAATTCTCTATTGCACCAGAGTAAACGAACAGTTTAGAATCTGGACACTTTCGAATAAATTAATGACTACGCCTTTCTGGAGAAACATAAAACGACATTCATTTCTTGATCTCATTCTCACCGACAAGTGAACCAACCATCTCTAACCTTATCAATTATTCATCAGAGGTTTCAATTAAAAAACAGCAATTATATACAGTCTATATAATAAGAGGATCCAATGCAACAAAAAAAAACAAAGAACATGATGAATAAATTAGTTAACGAAGATTACCAAAAGAGGACGTGTTAAGTGCAGCATAATCTGGTTTTAACTGTGAATTGTATCAACACTAATAAAACAAAATAAAACATTTGATTTATTTTCAATCCTTTAACGTTTTGCATGCTGAGTCTTCCGACTTCGCTAAATACATATACACCGTAACACACTAACACCGAACTAAACTAGTTATTAACAAGTTGAAGATCTTTGATCATACAAAAGAGACAAAACTGTAGAAACAAATGATGCAAGAATGAATGTAGAGTCATTATTGAAGAATCCTAGCTAACCTAGTAACTTGTCTCTGTTGAATAAACCAAAAGAAGATCTGCAAGAATGATTAAACTGAGATACATATGAATAGTAATGAAGATGAACTTGGTAAAGACAATACATAATAGAAACATTAAAAACAACAAATCACAAGGTCTTCAGGAAAGGGAAATAGAGAGGTTCAATGTCTACGAAGACAAATATTATTTACTAGTCAGCAGTCCAGCTTTGTTCCACAACCTCGCTTACTCTTCTGTTGCACTCCCGTTTGCTTTCACTGAACAGGAGAATTCGGATTAGGATCACACAGCAATGACTTTGTTTGAAAAAAATAAATCAAAGAGAGATTGTTAAGCCAATGTGATCAGATATAGAGGAAGTAGAAAAAACAGCAATCATCAATGGTTTTATTGAGAAAGCATGACATGAGAAGCCATTTCAACATATATATTTTTACCTGGATGGAGGTAAGTATAGCAGCGACATCATATATATATAGGACTCCACTGGTTTTGGAGAATGTCCAAGCATATACTTCCATCAGCATAAACTACACACACAACAATGACCAAGTATGAGTCTCATGGATATCACATTCCCTCACAATTTTTTTTAAAAAAACAGCTAATGCTGTTAATTTTAATTTATTATTTGGATGGAACATCCGTGAAACAAACCGAACGGTTGGTGGTTTGTTTGGATAATCTTCTGAAAACTGCAGTGAGAGTTTGAAAGTACCTAGACAATATCATACACAAGAGATACAAGAAACTCAAGATTAGTGCTTACAAATAACAAAACATTACTTCCATCCCATGGGGTATCATCAGGCCTGACAAATCCACACACACACAAGTAAATAAGTACAGTGCAAGACTTATAGAATGTTTTCTGTAATAAATGTTTTAATTGTTTCATTACCCGAATATAACAGCGTTCCAGAGCATGATGTTGTCTTGTGGAGCACCAATAATTATACAAACATTTAAATTGTGAATAACATTAAAATGTATACTTTAACACTAAAAATGTATACTTTAACCCGTAAAACAAATCAAAGCATTTAGACACATTAAATATTAAGATTTAATAGCATTGTCCATTTAAACGTGTACTATTGGAAGATGTTCATCTAGAATAATAAAAGCGTTTATTATGTGTGGGTAGGAAATATTAAAGCTTTTTTTTCGCTAAAATTTGAAATATTAAAGTTGCCTTTAGTTTTTATAATTATGGGATCTTGCATACTTTTGACTGGGTTTCTTTGGCTTTAGTCTGAGTACAGACGATCAACACATAAAAGAGGGAGTTGGATGATCGAAAAAGAAGACAAAGACCAGAACATTTAAGTTTGTACGTGTTTTTCCTCCTCTACATCTCTTCCATGCTTATAGTGTACATTGATCACATGCATTGCTTTTAAAACCATGCATGTCAATTACTAGGAATACTAGAGTCATGTGCATTGCTTAAAAGCATGGATGTCATTTACGTAGGAGACTACTATAGTGATCATATGCATTGCTTAAAAATGCATGTTGTAAATGAGTGTTAAAAAAATCTAAACGCGGGTTTAAGAAAGAAAGATAACTACCTTCTAAAGCTTTAAAATATAACTAGGATAAGACATGCGCCTTGCGCATGGTAAATATATGTAATTAAAATATAAAATTTTAGTATTGACAAATTTAAAATTTACATATGATTGTTTTTATATGTATTTGAAATTTTAGAATTTTGGAATTTTTATATAATTATCTATACGTAGGATCAGAAACAATTGTAATTAGAACTGTAGATCAATCTTAGAATCTAATGGATCCGATTCCATATATCTTTTCACTTTTCAGTGTTTGAGTGATGAAAAATAAATAGAGTGTCACTGAGCTTGATTGGTAGAGTATTACCAAATTCCCTAATGTTTTTTAAGAAGCAGTTGGTAAAATATTTTCATTTAAAATATATAAAGTTTCAAAACTATTTAATATAATTTATTTATCTGTCTAATAATATTTGAAAACTATATTTTTTTACAAATTATTTTTTTTTAAATAATTTTATAAAAAATTAAGTTAAGTTTTAAATTATTTTTAAAACAATAATTTAAGTTTTTTCATATAAAATAAACAATTTAAAATTAATTATGGTCATGATTGAACATAACCATAATGATTTAAAAAATTTAAAAATTAACAAATTACAAACTCAGTTTTATATCTTGATCTAACAATTTAAAAATTAATTATGGTTATGAGAAGTTTATGTTCACGTGTCAATCCTATTTATCTTCAATTTTTTCTCTTGTTCTGTTTTTTATATTTTGGTTATTATTCAATATAAATATTTATTTTGAAGTTTATTCTCATTTTGTTTGTTTTTTTTTTTATCTGGAATTTAGAAAATACTTAAGATTTAAAATAATTAAAGAGATACATACTTAGGTTAAGATCTACACTTTATGCACAATAAGTATTTATTATTTATTTTATATTTTTCTGCATATTATAAAATAATAATATAAATGTATATATTAAATAACTAAGAAATCAGTTACTATTATGTAATAAATTGACGTATGCATAAAACTTTAACTATCACTCTTGTTTACTCACAATTAGGGTAAATAAATCAAAATAATCAATCTTATATATTGTATATGATAAATAATTAAATTTAAATGATATAAACATAGTAATATAGCACACTTTTGATATGGATATTTATTAAATGAGGTTTCTACTCATATGATTTTATGATTATTTGCATATTTTTGTAACAAAAGTTTACACCAACAATTTTTTTTTTAATGTGAGATGTTTAGTAGTTTTAATAATTTATAATCATTTTAAAAAAACCATGACATATTTAAAGTTAAAATATTAACTTTTCAATATATGTTTAAGGTAAATATCAAATATGAGTATGTATTTTCATACGATGTACAGTTTAATTAAAACGATAGGAAATATATATAAACTAAAATTATTTCTTCATATGGCCTTATAATCATTATATTTTAATATAGAAAAAAATTAAAACCTTGATCCTAAAAGTTTATGTGGGACTTTTAACAGTTTTAGTTATTTAAACTCATTTTGAAAAATTCGAAATACAACATACACCAAAAAAAATCTAGATTTTTATTATATTATTAATGTAATTGTGTAATTTATTTTAATAACAAAGAAAAAAAACAAATGAGAAAAAGTATATATATTGTTATCAAATCTTGTCATATATATATTTTAATCACATTAGGTAATTTCGTACGTTTTATTTAAGGAAAGCATGCAAAAAAATAAATATTTGATATATGCGACCAACTATAGCCTACGAAATATTATATTGATAGAGAGTTTAATTTTTAGACTATACATTATATCACATGCTCTAGAATCCTTAGGATTTGAAATAGAAGCCAAAGAGATATGCCACATAGGATTGGAGTTATTTTTAGTTCTTACAAACTTAAGGTTACAACTTTTTAAATGATTCTCAATTAATATATAGGGGATTTATAACAAAATCGCACATAAAGAGAAAAATAATTAAAATAAATTTTATTAAAAAAGATAATTTATACCTTTATGGTTAACTAATCTAAAATCATTATTTAGATTTTGAGGAAGGGGATGATGGAGTTTAGAGTATGAAGATTAGGGTTTTAGGTCTAGAATTTAAGATTAAGACAATAATTTAATTTTTTTTTTGAAATATATTATTCATAAGTTATTTTAATTTTTTGTTCTTTAGTAAAACATATTTTGATCATTTTATTTTTTATGTGTTATTTTGGTCATAAATATATTTTTCTGTCATTTTGGAGATTTGACTTTGAAAAACATGACATGTGCACTGCTTAATAAAGCCTGCATGCTAATTACTTAGGGTCTAATTTTGTTCTTTTTTTGTGGAGTGGTTTATATTATATAAGGTTCTATTGTGCAATGGAAAGATATCTCCTAAAAATTCTCTTTTGTCGATTTGAATAGATACAGAGAAGTAAAAATGAAGAACTATCGTTTGATGGCGTGGCAAATGCTGATGATAATTGTTCTTGTCAACTCCCAAAACCGAATCGGTGTGTAACAACCATTTTCTTTTCAATTATATTGACTTACCTAAGGTTTTATGAAATATCTGAAGCGAAATCTTGTTCTCGTTATAGTTTACTTATTTTGCATACGAACGTAACACTGTCCGCAGCTTCGATCTCTACCTGGATCCAAATCTGTGGATAATGGTAGAAACTAATAGTACCACTAAGAAGGTAATCCACGATACCACATCTCATCAGTCGTCTTTACAAATATGTCTGGTTAATACAGGAACAGGCACGCGGTTCATGAACATTTTAGAGCTACAACCACTAAATCGATATGCGTATACTACTCCCAAGTGGTTCACTCAAGATGTTGTCACGTCGTGTTTTGAAAATCCAGAAGGTGCCATGATTCGGTAAGAACCATTTTCTCCAATCATATCTCTTTTCTCTCTTTATATAAAATTGTTCTATATATTTTTATTGTTAACAAATCATGCGTTTAATGATGATGTAGCTAGGGTCTATACGGTATGTTACCTTACTACTCTCCCATATATAACATTGTTTAGAACGAATCAACGATCTCATGTTTTTCTTATATAAATGCTGTACTTGAGATGTATTATAGTAGTTTTCCCATGATCTTAATATTCGATGATTCCCTATTCTGTGATCCCATCTAAGTTTCATGCTGGGTAGTAAAACGTCAGTGGGGTAATTTGCCCATGATACATAGTGACATAGACTGTTTTACTATCCGATATGAAACTTGGATGGGATCGCAGAATGGAGAACCTTCGAATTTTATGATCATTGGAAAATTATGATAATCCATCTCGAGTAGAATGTGTTCATATATAACGCACAAGAAAAACATGAAATCGTTATATACAATGTTATATATGGGATAGTAGTAAGAGTATCTTCAACTTTACTGCAAAATTTACTGCAAAATAGGATGAAAATACAGTCATAAGCAAAGAAAAAAAGACATTACTTCATATAAGCAGTAATACATTTTTATTTGTTTATAACTGGATTTTCCACCCTATTTTGCTGTAGATTTTGCAGTGGAATTGTAGATGTTCAAAAGTAGCATACCGTATTGATCATAGCTTTTAAACACATGATTTTTTAACAATAAAAATATATAGAACAGTTTTATAAAAAAAAAGAAGAGAAAATAGATGTGATTGGAGAAAATGGTTCTTATCGTATCATGGCACCTTCTGTATTTCCAAAACACAGACCGAACAACATCTTGAGTGAACCATTTGGAGTAGTGTACGCATGTCGACTCAGTGTTTGTAGCTCTAAGACGTCAATGAACTGCGTGCATGTTCCTGTATTAGCTACATCATCATTAAAGACGTGATTTCTAACAATAAAAACTAGATAGTATAGAGAAAATAGTTCTTACCGAATCATGCCACCTTCTAGATTACCAAGACAGACCAGAATAACATTTTGAGTTTTAGCAACAACAAAAAGAAGCATCTCCAGTAGTAAATCATTTGAAAAACCCGTGGGATCTCAAAATTTTTCTAAATCCAAAAACTATTTAAAGCATCTATGGGGTGATTAATGCCTGCCTACTCGAATCCAGGACGGAAACTTCGAGTGGAATCCTTTTATCACTAGACTAAAACGACTTGGTTTTTGGTTTAAGACCCGTGAATCTTATAAGACTATTGGGCAAATTACCCAACTGATGTTTTACTACCATACATGAAACTTGGATGGGGTTACGGAATCGAAAACACCCCGGAATCTTAAGATCATAGGCAAATTACTGTGATCATATACGACTAATAACCGACTTAAACCTATTCACACCAGCACGAGGTTCCTTAACCGATAATAAACCGTTAAAAATCACACTGTACTGTCGTAATAACCGATTTAAACCAAACCTGAACCAACAAAAAAAATTGTTGCTTTGATCTCTCGTCGACGACGACAGAGAGAGCCGTTGATGCGCCTTGGCTCTCGCTTTAGCCTCTCTCTAGATGATAAACCTCACGAGGCACAGAGTCACGAACCTCGCGACCAATGGTGTCTCACTAGACGCAGTGTTGTACACGCGCCGACACTACTCTGCTCACTCTCCCGACAAGTTCACATTCCCGCCTCTTCTCAAATCATGCGCGAAGCTCGGAGACGCTACACAAGGCCGAACCCTACACGCCCAGATCATAAAGACTGGATTTTTCGTTGATTACTTCGCCGCGACTGCTCTGGTGAGTATGTACATGAAGGTTAAGCAGACTAAAGATGCACTCAACCTGCTCGACGAAATGCCTGAGAGAAGTGTTGCGAGTGTTAACGCTGCGGTTTCTGGGCTTTTGGAGAATGGGTTTTGTGGGGAGGCGTTTAGGATGTTTGGGGAAGCTAGGGTTTGTGGGTTTGCTGGGACGAACTCGGTTACAGTAGCTAGCGTTTTGGGGAGTGTTGAGGATGTAGAAGGTGGGATGCAAATGCATTGTTTGGCGATGAAGTCAGGTTTTGAGATGGAAGTTTACGTTGGGACGTCTCTTGTTTCTATGTATTCGAGGTGTGGGGAGTGGGTTTTAGCTGCTAGGATGTTTGAAAAGGTGGCTCATAAGAGTGTTGTGACGTACAATGCGTTCATCTCTGGGTTGATGGAGAATGGAGTTCCACGTTTGGTGCCTAGTGTGTTTAATCTCATGAGGAAGTTTTCAGATGAAGAACCTAATGATGTTACTTTCGTTAATGCAGTATCTGCTTCCGCTAGTCTTCTGCATCTCCAGTATGCTAGGCAAATCCATGGTCTTGTAATGAAAAAAACTTTTCGGTTTGATACAATGGTCGGTACGGCTCTCATTGATATGTATTCGAAATGCCGGTGTTGGAAATCAGCTTACAGCGTTTTCACAGAGATGAAAGATGCCAGGAACTTGATATCATGGAACTCTGCTATCTCTGGGATGATGATTAATGGACAGCATGAGGTAGCAGTTGAGCTGTTTGAACAGTTGGATTCCGAGGGGCTTAAGCCAGATTCAGTGACGTGGAATTCAATGATCAGTGGGTTTTCGCAGTTGGGGAAAGTAAATGAAGCTTTCAAGTTCTTTGAGAGAATGATGTCTATAGTTGTGGTTCCTAGTTTGAAATGTCTTACTAGCCTTCTATCAGCTTGTTCAGATATTTGGGTTTTAAAGAACGGTAAAGAAATCCATGGACATGTCATCAAAGCTGCAGCTGAGAGGGATACATTTGTTTCCACATCTCTCATGGACATGTACATGAAATGTGGGTTGTCTTTATGGGCACGTCGAATCTTTGATGGGTTTGAACCTAAACCCAAGGATCCAGTGTTCTGGAACGTTATGATATCAGGCTATGGTAAACATGGAGAGTGTAAAGCTGCAATCGAAATCTTTGACCTACTACGAGAGGAGAAAGTAGAACCGAGTTTAGCAACCTTTACTGCTGTTCTATCTGCTTGTAGTCACTGTGGTGATGTCGAAAAGGGAATGAAGTTTTTTAGTTTGATGCAGGAAGAATATGGATTCAAACCTCGTATAGATCACATAGGCTGTATGGTTGATCTTTTGTGTCGCTTTGGGAGATTGAGAGAAGCCAAGGAGGTAATAGATCAAATGTCAGAACCATCATCTTCTGTTTACTCGTCTCTGCTCGGTGCGTGTAAGCAACATCTTGATCCAGTGCTTGGAGAGGAAGCGGCGACGAAGCTAGGTGAGTTAGAGCCAGAAAATCCAGCTCCATTAGTGATCTTGTCTAGCATATATGCTGCATTAGAAAGATGGGAAGATGTGGAAAGTATCAGACGTGTAATAGATGAGAAGCAACTAGTGAAACTTCCAGGTGTTAGTTCGTCTGGTTAAGGTATATGGAACGGTGATGCAGAGAGGTTTACTGTAAACACAGACAGGATTCTCTTCGGAGCCTATAGAGCAGATGATGTAGCGATTCAGGTCTACATTTGCATTTTGCAGTGTGGAAGAGACACTGAAGGGCCTAATCAAACAAAGAGTTTACACTTTGGAGGTCTGCATATGCCTTCTTACAATGAACTACTGAATTTTTCTGAAGAGTTTAAGACCCCTTTGTGATGAATATTTATATGTAAATTAAAGATGAGGCAAGAGGGAAAATTGATTATTGTATTTACCAAAAATTTTGTTGGTTTTCTCTTGAATCAGAACAAATTGTGACAAATTCTAGTTTGGGATCAAAGAAAGTTATTATTATTGATCAATCGGCTTGGTATATATACCAAGATAAGTAGAATAACAATAGGAAAACTTAAAGAATCTATCTAGAAATAGGAAAACCAAATTAAACTTTATCTAAAACTTAGTTCGTATAATTCCTAAGTTATCTAGGAATCATACTCCAATACCCCCCCTCAAGTTGGAGCATGAATGTTATTGATGCCTAACTTGAGAAGAAAAGCATCGAATTCCTTGCGTCCAAGAGCTTTTGTAAAGATGTCTGCAAGTTGATCATGAGTAGACACATAGACTGCTTTGATAACGCCTTTGGTGATCTCATCGCGCACAAATTGGCAAATGATTCCCATGTGCTTCGTCTTTTTATGAAGAACAGGATTTGCACTTATGTGTAGTGCGGATTTATTGTCACAACACACGGTCATTGGTTCAGTATGTTCACGTCCCATTTCTCGAAGAAGCTCCTTCACCCAAATGAGTTCCTGTGTGATTGCTTTCATTGCACGAAACTCGGCTTCGGTTGAAGATAGTGAAACTGCATCTTGTTTTGTAGTCTTCCAGGCTATAGGAGAAGTCCCAAACTGAATTATCCAACCAGTGAGAGATCGATGAGAGATTGGACATGCTCCCCAGTCCGCATCACACCAACCAGTTATTGAGAATGCCGTATTAGCTCGTAGGAGAATGCCCTGGCCAATAGTTCCTTTTAGGTACCGCACAGTCTTCAATGCTGCAGACCAGTGTTCTTCACGAGGTTGTTGCATGAATTGGGATAATATATGGACAGAGTATGCTAAGTCGGGACGAGTTGCAAGCAGATAAATAAGACGGCCGGTAAGCCGTCTATACCGTTCTGGATCAGTGAGAAGATCCCCTTGTGCTGAACTTAATTTGTGATTCTGATCCATAGGTGACCCAGCTGGTCTACATCCGAGCAAGCCACATTCTGTTAGTATTTCCAGAGTATATTTACGCTGGCACAAATAAATACCCTGAGGGCTTCGAGCGACTTCCAAGCCAAGGAAGTACTTAAGTGTACCAAGATCCTTCATATGAAAACATGTTGATAGATATGCCTTGAATGAATTGACTTCTGAGTTGGAGTTGCCTGAAATTATTAGATCATCTACGTATACGAGAATCATAATGGAGATATTGTTCTTCGTATAGATGAACAACGAGTGATCTGAATGAGTTTGAGAGAACCCATATGTCGTGAGAGCATCAGCCAGTTTCGCAAACCAACACCGGGGGGCTTGCTTAAGGCCATACAGTGATTTACGTAGCCTGCAAACTCGTGTATCGTGAGGATTTGAGAATCCAAGAGGTACCTTAATGTAAACTTCTTCTTGAAGATCTCCATGAAGAAACGCATTGTGAACATCCATTTGATGGATCTCATAATTATTCTTAGCAGCAAGATCGAGAAACATACGCACTGTGATCATTTTAGCTACTGGTGAAAAAGTCTCAGTGTAGTCCAAGCCTTCTTTTTGATTGTTTCCCAAAACTACCAATCGAGATTTGTATCTCTCGATTGTACCATCAGCTCGAAGCTTAATAGTATGAACCCACTTTGTTCCAAGAGCCTTTTTATTTGGTGGTAGCTCTACAAGATCCCACGTATGCTGTCTTTCAAGAGCATCCATTTCAGATTTCATAGAGTCTCGCCAAACTTGGTGTTTCATTGCTTCTTTAAAGTTTCTTGGTTCGATATTGTTTGCCAACGCAATGAGGTAGCTGCAGTGTTTGGAAGAGAAACGAGTATATGATAAAAAATCAGATAAAGGGAATAACGAACCTGAGGAAGGCTGCGGTGCAGATGATGGCAGAGAGGAAGTGAGAGTAGGGATTGTAGTGACCGCATTGACGACAAAGTCCTGAAGATGAGTTGATGGAATGCGTATTCTGTGACCACGACCAAGAAGCTCTTGCTCTGTTTGTATAGGTTCTGTTGCTGTAGTCTCTGTATCTGTGTTTGGAGGAACAACAGCATTCTGATTCTCGGTGTCAGTTACTGAAACCATTGTATCGATAGGTTCTGTTTCTGCAGTTTCTGAATTTTCTTCACCATCTGATGAAAATCTTTCGTGTGATGATATGGGAATTGGTGACTCTGTTGACATATTATCGGCATAGGGGAAGATATCTTCGTGGAAGCTGACATCTCTAGAGATGAAAACGACCTCTTGTTCAATATCAAGTAATTTCCATCCCTTGGTGCCAGATGGATAGCCAATTAGAACGCACTTCCGACTTCGTGGCGCGAACTTATCACCTTTAGTATCCTTGTTGTGTGCATAAGCCAAACAACCAAGAACACGAAGATGAGACAGCGTAGGAGGTTGACCATGTAGGAGCTCATACGGAGTCTTATTTTTGAGAAGTGGTGTTGGTGTTCTGTTGATCAAGTGAGCGGCTGTCAAAACGCATTCTCCCCATAACCCGATTGGTAAGTTAGCTTGAAATCTTAAGGCTCGTGCAACATTAAGAATATGCCTATGTTTTCTTTCTGCTCTTCCGTTCTGTTGTGGTGTATGAACACATGATGTTTCATGGATTATCCCTTGCTCCTTAAAAAACTTTGTGAGACACATAAACTCAGTACCGTTATCACTTCTCAAAGTCTTGATTTTCTTAGCATACTGTCGCTCTATTAATGCGATGAAATCTTTGAGTTGTTGAGCCACAATCGTTTTATCTGGTAGAAGGTATAACCATACGGCTCGAGAGAAATCATCAACGATAGTGAGAAAGTAACGAGACCCACAAATTGTTGTAGTTCGGTAGGGACCCCAAAGATCGCAATGTATTAAGTCAAAAATTTCTTTTGCATTATGAATACTATCCGGAAAACTATGGCGAGATTGCTTAGCTCTAAAACAAATATCACAGCTCTTGAGAAGATGTGTATCGGTATGTAAATTTTCTAAAGTAGAAACAATGCCCGTGATACGAGATGACGGATGGCCAAGACGACGATGCCATAAAACTGAATCTTCAATAGCAGTCGTTTGCAGTGACGTCAAGGTCTCAATTTCTCGGAAACGGTACAATCCCTCTCCCTCTCTTTCACCCGCACCAATCAGCATCCTCGAGATACGGTCCTGCAATATCATGAGTTTATCAGTAACTTGTCCAACCAGAAAATTGTCTGTAACTAATTGTCCAAAGGAGATGAGATTAGTGTGAAATCCGGCGACATAATACACATTATAAATGTGTAATGTGTTTGTTAATTTCACTGTTCCTTGCTTAGTCGCCATTGCTTCTGCGCCTGCAGCTAATAGGACTGGAATCGGTGTGATATCACGAATGTTTGTCATTATATCGATGCATCCTGTCATATGATGAGTTGCACCGGTATCCATGATCCAAACATTCTTTCCTTTCTTACCCTTGAGATGATTGTTTTGATCCGTGCCCTTATTAATTAACTTGTGAACAATACTCCATTGTTCATCAGTTATCCCAGTAAGGCCTAAGCGATCTGCGTCCGTGATAGATATATTTGCTTGAACCGTTGATGCCTCTGTTTTGGCGACTGTAGCTGTATTTGCTTTTGGTTGATTTGATTTTTGTTGAGTGTTGCGAATAGGAGCTCTGTTCTTTGGCCTGTCTTCCCACCATTCAGGATAACCTATAATTGTAAAGCACCCTGAGGCTTCGTGTCCTGTACGTCCACACGCTGTGCAATGTCGTGATGGGTCCTTGTTCCCTGGTCTTGTAGTATTTGGTCTTGAATTGTTACTTACTGAACGAGTCTGAGTTGAAAAACCTACGACAGGTGTGTCTGGTGTTGTCTTAGAATGAATTATCTCGTTCTGTGACACCGTTTGATAAACACTGTCTAGGTCGGGTAGTGGAGTTATGGCGCAAATCTGTGATCGTATGACACCATGTGTAGCATCATCAAGGCCTGCTAAGAAATCATGAACCCGTAGGGTTTCGATCTCTTTTTCCCTGGCCGAGTTGAGATCACATTCGCACTTGCCACAGTTGCATAGTTTTGAATTCATGCACTCAGCAATTCCATCCCAGATCTTTGTTAAACGACCAAAATACTCGTCCACCGAAGAACCGCTTTGTTTGCAATTTGCCAAAGAATTCCGTAACTGTTGAAGACGTGCTCCACTCTTTAAGGAATACCGTTTCTTGATGATATCCCATAATTCCTTCGCAATTTCGCGGGTTGAGATGGATGATCGAAGTTTAGGTTCAATTGTTAGCTTTATCCAACCAACAAGTAGATGATTGTTTGCTATCCAATCTTCTAAGAAGGGTGAATCAGCTGCTGGTTTCGGTATACTCCCGTCAAGGAAACCAAACTTCTTACGTGAACTAATGGCCATACGGAAATTGATAGCCCATTCATCATAGTTTGATCCATTGAGGAGAGGTTGAGATATAACAGCTCCTGGATTATCATTAGACGATAAATCATATGGAGTTATTGTTTTGTATTTGACGTCGGCAGAGGTAATCGCCATTGTTGTATGTTGATTGCTGAAGAAGATTGATTGAAAGTTCTTTGTTTCAAACCGTGAAACAAGGAATTAAGAAAATAAAAGAACAAGATTCTCTGTTTTGCGATTTGCAACACAGGGTTTTGAGAAAAAGATGATGCGTGATTGTTCTTGCGATTTTGTGCAAGACAACACGAGAATAGAATAAGTTTTGCGGAATTTAGTTTTGTTCTTGCTCTGATACCATGACAAATTCTAGTTTGGGATCAAAGAAAGTTATTATTATTGATCAATCGGCTTGGTATATATACCAAGATAAGTAGAATAACAATAGGAAAACTTAAAGAATCTATCTAGAAATAGGAAAACCAAATTAAACTTTATCTAAAACTTAGTTCGTATAATTCCTAAGTTATCTAGGAATCATACTCCAATAAATTGTATTTAACAGAGAATGATTTTTTTTCTACACAGCAAAACATCCCATTTGGTC